GTTTCTATGTTGTGTGGGCCTAGCTTTGCCCTCCACGTGTAACTGTTGGGACACGGATACGAGTCGCGGAGGCTCCAAGGATCGCAGTGGCGCTAAGAACTAACGATTAACCATGACTCTGTGAGCATTGTGCAGGGAAAAGAAGGACAGAACCTCCGCCTGGTCGGGCGCCATGAGCGAAGGTCCGGAAACTACGGCGAAGGCGCCCGAATGCAGCCAAAGGCGAAGGCTCGGGCGATACCTGCGGAGGCTACAGGAGTCAGCGCGAAGGTTCGGGCGGAGGTTCTAGGAGCCGGGGGACTTCCCGCGGGGTGGCGGTGCCGGGCCGTGGGCTGCAAACAGACTCACGGTAGCGGCCCATCAAGCAAAGGCGGTTGAAAAAGAAGGCACCCAAAGTACCCCTAGCGGGTTGTATTAGTATGGAAATATTCCGAGGATGTACTGTAACCGACGAGGGGTAGAATTGTAAAGAGTAGCCTTAGTAAGCAGTGCCCTATAAAAGGGGGACTAAAACTTTGTACAAAGGTTATGGTTGGATGAATTTATGAAACCTTATTCAGGCTTGGGCCCACCATCTGCTTCTCATACCTTCACCCAGGGCATTCGACTAGGCGAAGGCCTTCCTTGTCCCATCCGCTGAAAATCCCTTTTTCCAACAGTAACTTCTTCCTATATATAGTAACACGAGAGAGATGAGAGCTCCCTCTGAAATATTAGGTATCCTACTGATTTTAGGACATATTGTCAGGTAAAACAGGCGCGTATAAAACTCCCTAACTATAGCAAAATCTTGTGCTTACTATATTTGAGACTAGTGGTAGACACTAATAATTCGTAGTAATATGATTGATTCTATAGGACAATTAATTCATCTAGAATACCTTATAATTTGAGATAATTTTTGAATGCTTAAAATCTTTTATATTAATATATATATTATGACGAAGGGAGTGGCTACTACACCAGTTTCCTTTATAGTAGCACAGTGTTCGATATGGTAGAATCTCTCACTGCACTTTATTTATTCATAGATACTGCCTTTACAACAAGTTGTTTTTTTTTCTGTCAGAAAAAAGGCCTAAGCTTATTAGTTGCACGATTAAAGAATGGCATTTATCAAACATATCTATGTCACCATTTTTATGGCCCACTTGAGGGTTATCAGTCCAAACTTTGCCAAACATTGTACAGATAAACATCAGGTACACACACACACTAGACTTTGCATTGCTTAGATGGCACGTTTGAGCTTCCTATATATTAATGATTATGCAGAGCTGACCACGCCACAAGGAGGTATATTAGTTAAGAGATTTGAACACATGCATAGATAGATGCATGTGTCAGGAATCCAAGCATGTGCTATCACACTGTAGTAGTAGTAGTTGTGCTAGCTAGTAGAGTAGGTAGATTCGGTGTACATGATGTTAAATTTGTGCTTTGCGCCAAATCAGAATGGGATGAAGACTTTAAAATGGTAACCTAGTTTCGTCATGTGTAGATGATGGTGGCAAAGGAACAATAATCATATGTATTAGCAATGGAACAAGCAGAGTTAGTACATCGCTCTTCTACCTGTTTTTCTTTTGATTGTAGAGAAAATTTAAATTTAATTTGGACCATTATTATTGCACAAATCTCGCTATCTTTTTTTTTCTTTTTGATGGAAAGTATTTATAGGTAAATATGAGTTTGTTTGTTGTTTGGTTTACCAAGTGTTGGGCCACTCACCTACCCAAGTCGTTCCCAATGGATATTTACTAAAACATGTTGATGGTGTCAAGTTGTCTCAAGTGTCTGGAATTTCTTTCCGGAGTTCTAGAAACTATCTTTGAGAGTTTTGCATCACGTGTTGTAGACTTATGGAAATGAAAACCACTTAGAATTAATTTAGCTGTGGTCGGCGAAACAATAAATGAAGAAAGCAATCTGTCAACATTAATTGGGAATCTTAACTTGTAAGTGACATGTTCCAGTTTTATTTATCATGCATGTACAGTCCATCACTTTCAGTGAACTAATACACCTTTGGTTTGCTTAGTACCCTATATGTTAGCAAAACATCAAATCATATCAAATCTTTGACACAGTGCTCCATGATGTCATCACGTTGGTTAGGAAATAGAATTAATCGAAGAGATTGCACATGGTGTCGTTTCATGTGGCCGAAAGTTCATTAAACGATGCCACAATTTCTAAGCTCCTACAAAGGGTCAAATCTTCCGATAAAGACTGATCGAAAATTGTTACTTCCACAGTAAATAATGTGCCACATAATTCAATATGATGTACAACACTTTCTCCGTCCTGAAATATGAGACATCAAACAATTCAAAATTTATTCCAAATTATAAGGGGTTTTAGGAAATTAACTCCATTCACATGCATATCTTTCATTAATGCCTATTCTAAACACAGCCACCAGACACAGAGAGTGTGAAATAGTGGACAAAGTTGTTGTTAAGAAAAATATCAAGCATTCTAGAACAATCAAGACCACTTGCATTTGAATTTGACTTACAAATATTGACCAGCTACAGTTATATATACTTCAAGTTGATCAGTTCCTGGATCCTCTGCTACTATCATGACAATTTAATAATTTCTCTAAAAAAACCCGGCACTCATATAGCATAGGGCAGGTATCAACTTGTGGCTATGAAAGAACCTATGATGCATCCAAACATCTAAACCAAATCTTTCCTTAATCCAATCTAAATAAGAGCAGCTTTTCCGCCAAACATCTGCAAATGACATGAACGGAAAATCAGTTCATTAATCAATGAGATTTACAGACAGCGACATGGCTGACGTCATGCAGCATGGTTTTCGAGCTAATCATGCACAGTAGTGCCTATTTAATATCATGGCTTGTCCAAATCAATGGGATAATTTAACATATTAATTTGCTTACCTCATAAACTAGAGAAAAGCCAGGAGGATCAAAACAAGCCGCCAACTACTCTACTGCATGGATCAGATCATGACTCCAGACAACCCAATCACATTCGCGAATCTCTCATTGTATATACATCAATCATGGCATAATTTATACTTTGGATCCAATCTTCTTAACTTTCAACTGTTGGATCCTGTATTTAGAGACAACAGAAACCTAGGCTAGGTGGCCCGCTCTGATGTATGACTGATATAAGAAAATTAGGACCATATAAAGATAGCAAATAGCCTTGGAAAAAGAACTCGCTACACAAAGGTTGTAAATTAAGCTTAGAGTTCACAATATGCTTAAATCTCTGTAATTATGAACATTTGAAATGCTAATAAGCTAAATAACATTTTTCTACCGACTTCAAAATTATCATCAGTGCGTTCGATCCCTTTATCAAAAAAAGAAATAACTGAATGTTTTTTTAGGCATGGTTTGTTTACTTTTCCTGGATTGTCAACTCCAAGAAAACTTGCCATGATTACTTGATTACCTTCTAAAGAAATCTTATCCTGGCAGAAGCACGATTGCTGCTAAACTAATGTTTATAGGAGCTGTCCCAATCGTTCGGTAGCTTTGTTTTTCATATGAAGCAGATATGTTTGACTTACGCAGATACTATATACAACATACAACATATAAAAGGGGTTGGACAACTGGTAATGACAATACTAATCCTCTTCCCATGTGAATACGAGAGATCTAACCACAGGGCTTATCTAGTTGTCCCCTCAATGATTCCCCCGGAGTAGTGATCGATTCACAAAACATTCGGAAATTGAAGACTAGGATTCGTTACATGTCCCCGTGTTAGTACACCAAAGCACCAACAAACAGCCTATCGAGAATATATGGAGAAACCAACATTGCACAAAAGTACAAAAATACATAGTTCCCAAAACAAAAATGCTAGACCTATTTGAAAATTTCAAAATTTCTTGAAGATACCACCATCTATTTTAATTTATATTATAGGTGCCAAAAAACAATCTGACACGAGTACAAAAATCAAGGCAAGCATATATTGTATATATTATACGAGGTCAACCTTTGAAAGAAAAAATTGGAAAGCATGATTGAAGATGCACAAACCAGCATTGCAAAGAAGTACAGAATATATACATTTCCCAAAACAAAATTGTTAGACCTATCTGAAAACTTTAAAATTTCTTGAAGATGCCACCATCTATTTTCATTTTCATTAGGTGCCAAAAACAATCTGACATTATTAGTACAAATCGAGGACACCATATCTACAAGGTCAACCTATATATATATGAAAGAAAGAAATGGCAAGCATGATTGAAGCAGAAATATTAGGGGGGAGGGGGACGCATAGGGATTTGAGGTTGGACGGAGATTAGAATAATACGGCAGCTGGGGTCTGCTCCCTGATTATGTTAGGCCTATCCTTTTCTTGGCACTACATGGAAGCACCTTTGGCACACTAAGATACACGAGGTGATTGGCCGGAGGAGCTTGGATTTGTTTGGCATGCCTACACAGGGCCAGAGGAGAGGAGGGGACCCCACACATGGGCTGTGACTGAGAAGCAAGCAAGCTCATGACAACAGGGCTGGGGAATCTTATATCTCAATCTCCTTCCTCCTCCTCCTCCTCCTCCCCCTCCCCTGCCTCGCTAGCTAGATATAACAGGCCATGCCGGCCAGCTTTCCTCCCAGCAGAGACCAGAGCTTCTTCTTGTCCTTCTCTGCTTCTCTGCTCCTGTTCTTGAAACCAGAACTAGATTAGAGAGGGAGAGAGACTGCCCTTTCTGACCCACCAGGAGTGCCGGAGATCCTTAAAAGAGGTGAGCATAGAAGCTGCTTCTCTGTTCTTGTCCTCTGTTTTGTTTCTATTTTGTTTCAGAGTCCGTCGTGTTTCTGGGATATTTTCTTGTTCTTGTTTTCTTGGAACAATTTCTCCGAAAATTCTGAAGTTCCAACGGCTGGATCACAGTTCCCATTTGCATGCAGCACCGAGTAACTGATTTGCTCAAATTCTCATGAAACAGACAAGAGACCGACACGCGGTTGAGAGAAGGGGGTTCGGCATGAACCTTCACCAGGACATGGACAGGGAGCAGATGAGGATGGCCATCCTGAACCAAGAACAGATTTTCAGACAACAGGTACTAATTAGCTGATGGTACATTCTATCTGCGGTATGTATATTGCAAAACGCGCTGGATTATCTCTGCATCTCAACTTGACGAGGTCACCGCAATTTCTCACCGCTCTCTGCGTTTCTCCTGAATCAATCAATCAATCAGGTACACGAGCTGCACCGGCTGTACCATGTCCAGAAGCAGCTGGCACAAAGGACAGCTCTGGCGAGCCATGGCCCGGTGGTCGTCGACGTCAAGCCGATACCACAGCTGGACATCTGGTGTAGCGAGAAGGCGACAACAAATCCTCAGCAGCATATCGTCAGCTTCACCAGCTGCAACAAGGCCACAACACCTGCACCTGCGTCTGCACTGGCCGAGGAATGCAACCTTGAGCTGACACTGGCAACGGGACCGAGTAGCAGCAGTAGCAACAGCAGCTGTGACGCCGAGAGGCGACAGCGGAAGCGGTTCAAGGCGTCGTCTAACTGTGACTCCGGTTTGACTGTGGCGTTATCCACGTCGACGGACTCCGAGATGGCTCAGTTCAGGGAGGTGGACGTGGCGAAGCCGGTGAGGTTTCATGGCGAGGTTTGCAGGAGGATGGACGAGATGGGGCAGGGTCCATGGATGTACCAGTGCCTGAACCTCAAGATGGCGTGATGATGGGAGTTCACCTGGTCAAAGAGATTAGTATTCTAGGACATGTATGTATTCCTGCACAATATGTTCCCCTTTGAGAGGTTCATGGGAGTCATAAAAAATATGTTCACAACTGTGCTCGGCCCGATGAAAGCATTTCTGAGGGCTACGGAACAGAGGAGGTAATTGAGTTTTGTGTTGATTTTATTTCTGACCTTTACCCGATTGGTGTTCTTGAATCATGGCATGAGGGGAGACTATGTGGAAAGGGAACACTAGGGAAGAAAGCATATATTGGTATGGTATGGATGACGATTCCTTCCATAAAACACACTGCACGGTTCTACAAAACTCCTCCTTGGTGGATCCGTATACCGAGGAACAAAGGACATTGTACGATGTGACTTCTCGGGGAAGCCTGAGGCCTAGATTACGCGTCGGCACATGGAAACTTTTGGCGGTTGGTTGCGAAAACATCTCATGGGTAACGAGACTCTTGATGAGCCACTATACTTGTTGTCTAGGGAACTATCTTGGCATATCTTGACATTCAAAGGTTACGAGATAAATGGGAACACATTTCACACGATAGCCCAAGATAAAAGGAGCACCAACCAAAATAGTCGTGTCCGCATAGATGCCACAGACCCGAATGGAAATAAGGAAACATATTATGGCCGCTAGTAGACATATGGGACCTTGACTATGGACCTTCTTTTAAGGTCCCTTTGTTTCCGTGCTAACAGATTGTGGGGGGTACGACCCCGCATACCCACGGCAGAGCACATGGGCTGCGTCCCCAGGGGCGGCCCAGCCCACAAGACGAAGCCTTGCGGGCACGACTCTGCTCGGCGCCTCCCGCAAGACACCGGAAAGATATCCTAAAGATACTATGAGATCTGTTAGGATATGTATGATCCCATGATTCCTATAATCTGTTATTACCTTTCGGTTATCTCTTAGATCTAACCGACTTGTAACCCTGCCCTCCGGACTATATAAGGCAGACAGGGACCCCCTCCAAACTCACGCAATATCATATGATAGCCAATACAAACCAACAGACCACAAGAGTAGGGTATTACGTCATACTGACGGCCTAAACCTGTCTAACTCGTGTGTGTCTGTTGCCTTCTTGTTCTCGATTACACGCCTCTCTGCCGATCAATCTACTTTCATGGGATACCCCTCGGAGGACTGCCGACGATATTCTGTCGACAGTTGGCGTGCCAGGTAGGGGTGTGCGTGTTGTTTCCTTGTCGAACAAGATGGCTTTTTCCACAGGCTCTTGGTCCCTCCCACAGCCCGACCAGATCTTCACGGTCGGATTGATCTCGTGGATCATCAACGCTGACGGAGTCAGAGAGCTCATCGAGCCGGTGCAGATCGATTCTGCGCCGATCACCCCAACACATGTGACCGCAGATCCAATCTCGGAACCGCCTCCAAGGTCTCCTTCATTGACAACTCGCCGCCCACTTCCTCGCTACCAGAGGAGGCAGATCAACAACGACGATCTGATTACATCAATCGATCAGGTTGGTCAGAGGCTGCTCGGGAAACTCCAGGGGTTATGGCCCAACCCTTTGGGTTCATCAACATCACCGCCACCTACCAAGCTGCCCTAAGGGGCAAATTCGCCAACCAGGTTGGAGATGTCCATCCTCTCGCCAACCAGATCGCCGACCAGCCTCCGCCAACTGTCAACATGCTGCACGTCGGCCGACTCCCTGAAACTTCCCTCCAAACCATCTTGGAGGAAAATTTAGACTCCGAGTCCCAAGGCTCTACAGAGACTCTTGCTGAAACCACCACCAAGCAACTTCCTCTCCCTCCTTTCCGGGGTGGCGCGATCTTCAACGTCAGAGTCGATAGCCCACCTCGGAACGGCGAAACAGAGGAGGAACGCGCCGCTCATGAGAACCGGAACATCAATCGCGCACAGCGCTGAGCAAACGAGATTGCCCTTGCGAGGGCCGAGCAGCAGCTTGACTTGCAAGGAAGACCACTCCAACGCAACCTCGATGATGAGTTTGTCCGTGTTGATGGCCACGACGTCTACAAGACCCCAAGCGCCAACCTGGCCGTGGCCGCCAACGAGCTCGCTCGGCTCCCGCAAACACCAGAGGTCGCCAAGGTCGCCACCATGCTTAAAGCGGTGCACTACCAGGTCAATGAGATCCGCCAGGATTAGAGACCTTCATACTCCACAAGCTCGATTCGTCGATCAGCCACCACAAGAACCGATCGCCGCCCAAGTTGCTTCACCGACCAGCACTGCAACAACAGGCAACCCCTCCAGGGTGGAGCTAGGGGCAACCGCATTGAACATCACCGCCAACACGACAAGGAGGTTGACCAAGACGCCCAAGTGCACCTCAACAATCTCTGAGATGCACGATGACGTATCGACGAATGCCACTTCAGTCGCCATGAAGAAGAAGTACACTGCCGCCAGGAGTACGAGCAAGAGTGCGGTAACCCGGACTCAGCTCTCGAGCCACTCGCCACCGGCAACGCTACAGATGATGGCGCCAACAACCCCGAAGGCCCCCCAGCACTCACGAGGGCGCTCCGAACACTTCAGTGGCCCCGTGGTTTTAAAATCACTGGAGTCAAGCCCTACGAGGGAAGGATGAACCCGACACAGTGGCTACAGGCTTACGCCACTGCTGTCCGCGCCGCCGGAGGAGACACCAGTGTCATGGCGAACTATCTTCCTGTCATGCTCGCACCAACCGTCATGAACTAGTTCACAAATCTTGCCCCATACTCCATCGGATCCTGGGAAGAGCTTAAAAAAGTCTTCACTGACAATTATATGGCTACGTGTACTCGGCCGAGCACCAAGCATGATCTAAACCGCATCAACCAGAAGCCGTCCGAGCTCCTCCGTAGCTACATCCGACGCTTTTCCAAGATGAGGAATTCTATTCCCAACATCATGGAAGCTGAGGTCATCACCGCCTTTGTCCGAGGACTCCATCACCACGAGCTTCGCTCCAAGTTCAACCGCAAGCCACCCACAGGGATTGGCGAGATGATCACGACCGCCAACCAGTACGCCGACGCCGAGTAAGCCGAGGTGTGTGCTTCAACGAGGATGCGGGCACTCATCGCCCAACATGCCGCTACGACAACCGCCCCGACGACCAACAACACAATGACCGTCGTTACGACGACTGTAGTTACCATCGTGACAGTGGCCGTGATCGGCCAGAAGGACCCAAGTCTGGTCAAAATCGCCACCGACGACCAGACCACATCGTTGCCGCAGTTAATGAACCTCACACCAAGCGCAACTACGATGAGCAATACAAGAAGATCCTCGATGGCCCATGCCCTCTCCACAAGAATGCCAGGCACAAGATGAAGGACTGCCTCGGCTTGGCTAAGGAGTTCCAGGACAAGAAGCTGGACAACGACACCAACGATGGAACAGGAGGCCGCCAACCGCCTGGGGGCAATAACAATGCCTTCTAGGATCACGACAAGGTGGTTGCCATCACTACAGAAGCTCGCTGCTCGGCGGGTGCTCGCCATCACTACGGAAGACGCCGCCACCAACCCCAGCTATCATCCATGGTCCGAGGTCCCCATCACCTTTAGTAGGGCCGACCAATGGGCGGACATCCCCTACATAGGGTGTTTTCCCCTTGTCCTCGATGCAACCATCCAGAAGGTGCTTTTTAGAAAAGTGCTCATCGATGGTGGGAGCGCTCTGAATCTCCTCTTCGTCGGAGCCCTAAAGGAGTTGGGCCTCGGGATAACAGATCTCACACCCTCGGACTCCTCCTTTTGGGGTGTGGTACCTGGCAGGGCATCCAAACCGCTTGGAGAGATTACCCTACCAGTATAGTTCGGCACGACAAACAACTACCGCATCGAGCACATCAACTTCTACGTCGCTGACTTCAACACTGCCTACCACGCCATACTTCATTGGCCAGCTCTGGCCAAGTTCATGGCTATACCACACTATGCTTATCTGGTGCTGAAGATGCCTTCACATGCTGGAGTCCTGGCCCTGCGAGCCAACCTCTCCATCGCCTACGCCTGTGAGACTCGCCCTCGCCGAAGCCACCAACCTCTCCATCCAGATGGCCAGTGTGGTCACCGACCCCAAGGCGGTGCTTCCTCGCACCTCCGCTAAGTCTAAGGAAACCGAGGAGGTTGGCCTCAGCCTCGACGACCCCTCCAAGACCGTGAAGATTGGGGCTCACCTCGACCCCAAATAGGAAAGCACGCTCGTCTCCTTCCTACGTGCCAACGCCGACGTGTTTGCTTTGAAACCTGCAGACATGCCGGGGGTACCACGGGAGAAGATCGAGCACTCCTTGAATGTCTCACCGACCGTAAAACCGATCAAGCAGAAACTCCGC